TTTTCTTGTTTTTACTTATATCAGACCCATGCATGTTAATTCCCACGGACAATGCTAAACACTAAGACAGAGCCTACAGTACAGCTCCGACGACATGCTACCAAAATCAACGCTCTTACCTTCTTCCGATATCTTTGTATATCCGTCTTCGTCTTTTCACGTGGCTTTTCGCTGCCCCAACATTCGAATTGACCATCGCGCCCTTATTGCCTTGCCATGCCCAGCGTCCCATGACGTCACTATAACACATGCGCAAACAACGTGTGCGCATCCTCCCGGCCGCAATTTCGCAGTTCTACGCACACGCATCAACAATTCATTGTCAACCCGTCGCGTTAAACACGAGGAAGTAGGAGCGAATCGAAAAACGTGAATCGGCATTATTAGCATATTGAAATGTTATATTATTGACACAATAATGTTCGATACACCACCATACACCAGGACTTCATACCATGCATTTCAGAACGACTTTATCGTACACCAATGGCATAGGAGAACATACGCTAGCGACATCGACTGGCGCAACGCACAAACTGGTGCTTCGATATGGTAAATGCAAAAATATTCTAAAAATTAACGGTTTTATACATTACGTGACATGGTTATTTCCAACAATTTGACATACTTGATTGACGTGCGAGAGTTTACTATCGATAGTTTCGAATCTGTGCGAATGCTCGTATGCCGGTATAGAAATAATCGGCTTTATCGACATTTTAAAACTCGGCCGGTTGTCGTTTAAGTAATGCATACAATTGGCGCCACTGCAGGCTCTACTGCAATTCTATATTTTAACGTATTTTTTCAAAAAATAAATATTCCTGGAATTGTATCAGTTAATTTGAATTTAATGTATTTTTGAACACGAAATTCGAAAGTCTGATTTGCTCCTACTGGTCACTACACTAGTGCATTTAACGAACGCTACATTAAATTTATATTTAAAAGAGGAGTAAAGCTAATTTAACTTCAATTTAAAATTTGTTTCCTTACACTTTCTCTATTGTTTGAAATATAACGGGAAACCATTCGGATTTCAATTGTAACGAGGATAATTAGACGCACATAAAAGTCAGAAATCCCAGGAACTGAGCTAAGGAAGTTAGTACCGATTAGTAAGATCCGAGTATCCCAAGTGCTCAAGTATAGTAATGATATATTTTCATTAAGCTTAAATTAAATCAATACTTTTATAATATTTTGTAACATTTTGTCATATTTGATTTTAAATATAAATTTTTTTTAATTCTAATTTTTTATAATTAACATCTTCCGATTTTCATACAAAGAAACAATATTATTAATTTAATATCTATAAATATTATTATTATTTTTATCGTAAATGTATATGCCAGAATTGATTTAATTAATTAAATCGTAAAAAATAAATAAATTTCCAATGATCAATGCGACAATAACGAAAAGCACGACACGTATACGTATATATTCATTACTATCGTAACTTGTTTTTTTAATAATTACCAAATATCTTCAAAAATTGATCTATAAAAAATTCAATATTGAATAATTAAAATTTTTTTGGCTTGTTTCGTGATGATTTTTAAATTTGGAAAAACTGAAAATTTTGAATAAATTTCAATTTATAATTAAACCTCGTACATTTTAATATTTTTAATTTAATTTATTCAAATGTTAAGAAAATTGTATACAGCCTATAAAATGTTTCTCTCTCTCTCTCTCTCTCTCTCTCTGTCTTCCTTTCTCCGTCCCACCCTCTGATTCTGTCTCTCTCATTATCTATCTATCTATCTATCTCCATTTACAGCAAAGACAATATTCATCATCAAATTTTAAACACTGATAATCAATAATTATTAAAATAAAAAATATCTTTCATATTATTATTATAAAGATTCTTAAATAAGAAAAAAAGTATCATAAAATTGCAAAATGTTTGTCTTTTCAGTAAATTGCCTGAAACAACTTCTAATTTGGATTTTGTAACAAAAAACAAAACAAAAATATAAACCGTTTCTTTAATTTAAGTGAATATAATAGATACATGTAATAACATAAAAATTATATTGATAAGCGTATATATAATTATTCTTAATTAATACATAATAAAACTTTTAAAATAATTTTATAATAATGTTCAGTAATTACCAAATAAAAATTATAAATTTATTGAAATCATAAAAATAGAATTTCAAATGACATACAATTGCTGTACATTTATTATTAACTAAAAAATATTACATGATACAAGTGCCTATTATAGCAAGCATATATAGTTAATCATATAGCTATAATTATTACTTAGCAAGCCAATGCATGTTATCCTATTTTTATATTTTATTTAGAAAAAAAATTAGCGTAAGAATTTATTCATATAATAGTATATACATTATAAATATCCTAAGAAATTTAATAAATTAATTGTTTATTTGTTTATTTTTAAATAATGCGTAAACTAAGCATGCAAATACGTAAACAAAAATAATAAAATATTTGATAATAGACACATTTAATAATTATGCTTTTTCATCGCAATAAATCCTCAGTGAAAAGAAAATATTATTATAATATGTTATTATAAATTAATAATAAAAATAATAAGCGAGCAAGTTCTCCAATTAATCTTTCTACAATAAATTTTGTATTTAAATTAAAATTTGTAACAATCAAAATATTTTTCAAATAGCATAAACTTAAATATAAGAATTCATTCAATCATAGTAGAAGTATTACTTCTCAACCTAAATTGTATAAACATTTTTCGGCTTTATAACACAATGAAGTCTAAAAGTGTCATCTGCAAACTAGTTTCCTAATATTCATTATGTAAATTATTAACTAATACATTGGATACAGAAAATGATAAATTAATTGTAATTCTGTTAATATATAGTTGCATCGTGTTTAAGATAATTACTTGACCGTTCAAATGATTGTTGAATATGGTATATTTGAAAAGATTATATATATACGTAAATCGTTATGTACAAAAACATAGAAAAATTCGACTTGTATAAAAGTATAAGGTTTACTATATATCAAATTAAACGATTTTTGGGACAAATTAAATTAAGGGACCAAACCAAGTTGATACTTTAAAAGATAAAATTTAAAAAAATTATTAGTGCATTATTATTATATATAGTGATTTAATTTCATAAATCTATAGCAAAATATTATTCTATATACTTATAGTATATATAGTAGATTACTATAACCATTTTCTTTCATATTGATTTTATATTCATTGAAACTGGCATAATTTTTATTACAAATATTATCTTCTTTTACTAAAAACAAATCATTATATTTTATCAAAAAAATGTATTTTTTTTATCAAATAATCTTAAAATATCTAAGAACTTTAATATGCTAAACTTAATAGTATAAATATATATACATATATAAGACTGTTTTAAATATTCATTTCTTAATACGTTATTATGGTTGAGTTACATCTGGACAGAATTTAGGTATATATTTTTCTGGATGATTTTTGTCGAACTTGAATATTTATTATATATATTATAATATTTATAATATATTTATAATTATATGAGATCAAGAAAAGGAAAATCTAAAATGATGAAATTTTTAATTTTATATTATTCATTATTTATGTACATATATATAAAGTAATTAATGAAAATACATTCAACCAACATATACAGTAAGTTATATACATCAAGCAATAATAATAGATACGATTTTTATAAAATACTAGTACAACAATTAGCAGCAATTAAAACCTTTATTTTAGAAAAATATTATCTAGTTGATATGATTATAACTAATTATGTAAAAAAAAACATACTTAGTTGGAAGACATTCTTTCAGTCAATATCAATCTGCTAAATAAAAAATTAAAAATTATATGATAAATTAAAATTTTTATTAGGAAATAAATAATGAAACAAATTAACAATGAAATAGGAAGATATTAATATATATTTAGCAATGGATAAATGATATTTAACAGTGGATAGTATGATAAGTATATACATTAGAGTGTAACTAGACAATGTTTTGTACGTTTCTGTTTCAAGTTAAAAGCCTAGAAACTTCTTTATTTTACATGTAATATATAATCATATAGGCTCCACGAAAATTAAATTTTGGTACATATAATTATGAATGGGAGATTCACAGAGTTACACTGGAATAGAGAGCGAATGTAGACATAGAAAATCCCCGACCACTTTGAGACGAAGATTTTAGAATAAAAAATAAATTGTATGGGAAGATGTCCAAACTTTGAACTGTTAAAAAAGTATTTAAAGTATTTAAAGTAGTTAAAATGTAATTTTCAAACTTTATTGGAAATCTGAGATTCGTCATCGAATTATTCTCGGCTATACTAACATTTGAATATTTAATTTAAATTGCAATCTTTATTATGTCTTTATTGATTATCGATCTTCAGATAATATTAATGCACATTCTAAATTACGAGATAATTGAAAATTGCTAATATCACAAAGATCGATAATAATATCTATTACAAAAAAAAACAATTAAAAATGAAGTTCTAATAATTGTTATAAAATTTTATAATATTTAATTTTATAAAATTTTTATAATATTTAATTTTACACACACACACACGCGCGCGCACGTACATATATAAAGCATGCACAAGCAATGTACAATAATTTAAATTTAATAATAAACTTACGAAAAAGAAAGTAAATTTGTTTTCATTACGATACTTTATTCTTATACATATAGCACAATTCATATGTAAATTTAGACGAATAAATTTACTTTTCATACTAATAGGTCGTAAGTTCTTATATTTTTCAAAAGTGAAAAAATGACTATAAAATTACTATCAATAAGAAAAAAAAAACATTTTTCTTTCCATATCAAATATTAAAATTCTTTCAATACTAAAATAATTATTATTTTATGATATTTCTTTGTATACAAAATATCCATAAAAACCAACTTTATTAATGAATTTTATTATAATGAATCGTTTTTTTCTTTTGCAAAATTCTTATATTTTAAACTTCAAACATCAAACGAAATATATTGAATAGTGAAAAGCAGGTTTTAAGTATATTTTTGAAATTCTCATAATTCAACACGTAAAATCGTCCAGCTAATCGATAAATTGGTTTATGTGCTCTCATGATCATAAAATATATATCTTTCTGGATCTTTGGTGGAAATTCATACCAATTAATAGCGCACAAGCAATCTCGTATAGCTTCTGTTTGAGTAGTGAGAGTTTCGCCAGCATAATTCAATAAAAATACTTGCAACATTAATACGGTAAAACTTAAAATGACTCTTATTATATTTTGCCCCAATTTCATAGCTATTAATATCCGCATACCTATAAAAAATGTTACATCGGAAAATGAGATTTATTATATTTAATTTGTTTATATAATTAATTATGGATAAACAATAAATCATGCAATATCTACTATTTTATAGATTTATTTTTTTTTAATACTTTAAAATTAGTTTACCCATTAAAATAGACGTTTTAATTAATTTTTTTTTGATACGTAAGTGTATTTTTGCAATTGGGGAATTAATCAATTCATTTTAAAATTGTAATAAATATAAAATTTTCGATGAATAAAGCTATTAAGTTGAATTATATATGAAATGAATCTTTTATGTTGCATACTCCATACTTATGTATCGAGTTGACAAAAATATTAATTATTATTGCACTATTTAAACTAAATTAAAACTACATTATAAGTTTATAAAATATAGTAATAAATATAGTATTTTAAGCAACTCTAAGAGAGCATACTGTTATTTAAAAATTAATTTTTATAATTTATACAAAATTTTATATTTATAATTTATTTGGATTTATTTATTTTAAGATAAAAATGTTCTTGATATACAACTGAATATTTTTCTATATGTATTATGCAATAAAAAATTAATTGTTTTATTATTATTACTTATTATTATTAGTATTCAATAAAATTTTAAAAATTTATAATTAGATATGAAATCATTCTAATCTGTAATATAATAATTTATATGTATTATAAAATGATATAATATAATTATTTTACTCACCCAATATTAAATTAACTAAACAATTCAATAAAATCTCTACAAGCAATACTTCGGATATTCTTTTATTCAGTGTATCGGCTAAATCGAGCAGTTCGCTATGTCTCTGAACTATCGAATAGATTTCTTCTTCCCAATTACTTGTCGCTTTCAAATTTGCATTTATTTTCATAATATCATGTTTCAATACCGCAAAATGTCCACTGATAATTAATGTTAACATGAAAAAAAAGATGCTAATACCCACATTACCTTGTCCGCACATAAAAAGTCCAATACATTCGAAAATGTATACTAGAATATAAGTTTCAATTTGCAAATTTCTATATATGCATTCTGAATGCAGTGGTAACTTTAGCAATTGGTGATCCAACGTAGTATTCCTGGATAACAGATAAAATAAAATGTATTTAAATTAACGAAACATTGTACAATTGTAATTTGGTAATGACAATATTGTTTGTCTGAAATTAGATTTAAAGAAAATTAATGATAGATGTTGTAAAAAAAATCTTGACTTTGATATATTATACATATTATTTTTCAATATAATTAATAGAATTATTGATGTAAGATTTACTATTAGCACATAAGATATGTAACTAAACAATTTTTTTATTACATGTTAATTATTTTTTATTACAAGTTAACACAATAAAATCGTAAATTTTGAACAATGATAAAAGTGTAAAAATTTATAATATATATTTTCTGAGAATATATAAAATATGTAATTGAACAAATGTTTCTGTGTCTCTATATAGCACTTTGCAAATTTTATTTTATTCTTTTATGAACAGTGCTCATAATATATTAAATATTATAGTTAGTTCAGTTTTCTAACCGGTCTAGATTATTGTTGATTTGAGATATAAAATTAAATAGGAGCTCATTTAAAGGACGAATTAAAAATATGATAACCGTGAAGTGACACATAATTAGTTGAACGTAGGTTATCGAGCAGCCGACTTTCATAAAAGGCTTTAGAACTTTAGAAGATTCGTCATCTTTGATGCTAAAACATTTATTAAGAGCTGCAGTAAGAATGTTGTAAATATCATCACTATAGATACGAAGAGTGACGGCTTTTAATACACCCATTATCGAACATATTTCTGAAATCATTTCATCAATAAAGTAGTCAAAATCTCCACAATTGCTAATCATCACCATCATCTGATCCAACGTAAGCAATGACTTGAAAAAAAAATAATTTTTTTATTTCATAAATATTCCTAAATTTAATTAATAATACTGCAGTTACTCTAATATTTATCTAATACAGTTACATAAGACAATACATTTACTAATGTCATATTTTCAATATTTTCCAATTAGTCTATTTTAGAATTTTAATAAAAAATATAGGAGAATTTTAATAATTTTTATTATAAATCAATAGGTGTTAAACCTTCTATTGTTTTTAGAAATTATTATTATAGAGCAATAGAAAATTTTATAAAATTCTTCAATATTCTCTATTTTATGCTACATATTTGCATAAAATATTTAAGTAAGATACTTTAATAATAAAATTAATGACTATAAATATACTGGCTAAAATTAAATTTTAGTTCAAATACAGGCCTGATGAGTTTGATTGAATTTCAATTAAAATGTTTGTTTTGTTAATATAGAGGAAGTTATAAAATAATAGGAAGTTTCACTTTTCACTAACATAGAATTGAAAAATGTAAATACATCAATTCAGATATTTTATATTATTTAAAAAAATAAAATTTACATATATGAAAATTTTTATTTAAAGTATTAAAGTAAACTCGTTTTCATTATATATAATGACAGTAGTTATATTATTTAATTTCATTCGGTCATATGAAATGACATAGTAGATTCAATGTAAAGAAACATATTGAAAGAAGATTTTGTTGGAGTAAATTTTGTAAAGTAAAAAAAGGAAAATATGATTGAAACAATGAAAAATCACCTGGAAGATAACACAGACATAAAAGCGAATCCGTGAGAATAAATCGTCGCAACGCAGAGGCCAAACACCCAAAGGCCAAGTTATAAATTTGGTCAATCTAAAGGCAGCAACTGCATCTTTATTGCAATTGCCCTTCGAAATCCGCTCATCCATGTTCATCTTCCACTCGAAACACGTGTGACCGTCGTGAAAAAAAAGGAAGAAAAGAAGAAAGCAGAATCGAGCTGCGAGATAGCTTTCATGGTTACTTAAGCATTCATAAAGTCCAGGGCCTTGCTAACGTAGTAATAACGAGAAAATTTTAATAGAATACATCTGATACATTTATTATTTATCGCTTAGATGCATATGTACCCTTTACTATTTCTGTGGAAAAGCGTCTATATTAGTACGTTTGAATTACAAATGCGCATACGTGACGAGCGATAATATGCTTATCTTATATCTAATCAATTTTAACTCCGCCTGCAGAAATTTTTCCCCATTCTGACATTGCATAAGTATAGTCGAATATTTTCCCAATCACCACTTATCCTATTACTCATGCGATCATAGAACTATTATTACGAGTTGATTTATATAAATAAAACTTGGATCACGGAAAAATTATATACAAATTTTACTGTGCTTAATCGATAATGTTTATTATTTATTTCCTTATTACAGCAGTTGCAGAATTACGAAGTGAAGTTATGTCAAATAACCTTTCATACTTGACTTGAAAAACTTTTATAACAATATTTTCTTGTTTCTTGTTTTTGATTCTTTAAATGAAATGCGTAGAATTCATAATCAATGAATATGAAAGTTGCAGTAATATTTTCGAACTGTTACAAAGGAAGATATTTGTCATGAAAATATTGCATTTTATATTTAATTTAAAAGAAACTTGGTATATTTCATACACGCTTATTATATCAACATTTTAATTTACTATTCATATTTTTCAGGAAAATGTGGATTTCATAATCTAGGAATAAATTCTTTTTCCATTTAAAAGTGTTGGAAATTTCGAATCATATAAATTGAGATATTAGAAATGATTATGCGTTTAACGGTGAGTAATAGTATTTTAAAAGATTTTTTGCACATATATACATAGTACATTCACATGTCAATATTTGAGAATTGGAATGAGCTCATTTATTTCTAATTGAAAAATTAACAATAACCATAAATTATAAAATTGTCCTATACAAAAGAGTATGGTAAAGACATAGTATCTTAATAAAAAAAGTATATTAATAAAAAAAAAAGAAAATTTGACTAGACTCATTTGATTAGACTAATTAATTGTAGAAACACTATTTTCTTATTTAAAAAAATATTTTAAATTTCTTTTTATCTTGATTAAATCTTATTTAATAAATTATTACACCTAAAAATTGATCCATATATATATTTAGATGAATAGTGTATTTTAGAAATTAACGTTTGTATATTTTGCTCATGGAAAATTTATTTCTAAAATATAATTAATAAAATATTTATTTTATTTTAAAAGTTATAATATTTGTAATATTTATGTATCTATTATTATGAAGAAATATATGTAATAAAAATAATATGTATAATAATTTTAAGATTTACAAGTTGTATAATTCCTTAAAATTAAATACTTTTATTAATTTAAAATTAATTGATAAATATAGATTTATATGAGATTAATTTAACGAAAATAAATTGAATATATTTAAATTGTTATTTACATTTATTGTTTAAATGTTTGTATGAAAATATGACTCCAAATAACATATTCTTGTCTTTAAAAATTGAGTAAACTACAACTCAAATACTCACTTTTATTATATGAAATAGATATATTATCAATATAATTATAAATACAGATGTAGCAAGATAAATAGAAATATATAGATTGATAATCATTATCTTACGAAATGAAATGTGTGTCCTCAAATATTAAAAAAAGAGTTTTTGTTTATTACCTATTCACATGGGAATGAATTCGAATTATCGTTCCTCTTCCATATTATAGAGTTGATGATTTATTATAAATCCATTTTCTTTACATCGAAATAAGTCTAAATAAATTAATTTTAATTTTCATCAGTCAAGAATATGCATAAAAGTTTCACACCAACCAATTATATATTATATGTTCAAAATTTATTGAAAGCTTTATGGATTTCTTCCTTTTTATTATATGCATTATTGTTGTATAGGTATAAATGTTATATGTATAAATATTTTTTTAAATAAAACAAAATAATTTATGAACATATCAAATAAACTTTTTATGTTTTACATATATATATATATGTGTTTATATATATTTAGTTATAAAATTCTCTAAGCACGAAAATGTAAAAGAATACTTGATCGAGATGAGTTATTAATGCTACAAGGTGATAAAAACCATAGTTTCAAAAGAAAAATAATTTTTTACATTACTTTTATTTTACGTACCTATGATGTCATACTTTTAATGATATAATTTGAAAACTGCAGGTAGTTTATATTGAAAAAAATTTGCTTTCATTCTAATATGTAGTACGTTGAATGAAATTCAGAATCTGAAATAATATTTCCGTCAATTTATCTTCATTACTCGTAGCAATAATGTCATTAAATGCTAAAAATTTATTACCAATATTTTGATCAATTCTCTTCTACAAATTACTTTCCTTGGTACTCCTTATAAAAGGAGTTTACACGGAACTCTAAAGTTCTGCAAGTCATTGGCCTCTTGAAAAATATAATTTAGGGTAAAGGTTACGTAGGACGGAGAGTGGAAGGTAAATAGAAAAACTCTAGAAATTACATACATAGAGTAACATGGAATTTCATCGACAATCAGCTCATTTATAGAGAACAAATGTAGGCATCGAAAATCCTCGATCACTTTGAGAGGCAGACGCTTAGAAATATTTTCCGGCATCAGTCGCTCGATCTTAGATCTTTGAATCCAAAATAAATTGTATTGGTAGATGTTCAATATTTGAACTATTCTTCTTTTGCAAATTCTTCTAAATTAGGAAATACTTGAAAATTTCTCATATTACAAATATCACCAATAATATATATTACAATAAATTATAATTTGTTATATAATTACCCAATGACTACCATTAACTTAATGATACTTAAATTATTATACGAACATATCTACACAACACACGCACGCACCTACGCACACACACACAAATAAAATTTTATGCACCCATGCACGCGTACGCAAATATACACACAAATAGCCCACATGAGCACACAAATATATATATATATATATATATATATATATGCAAACCATGTATATATAATAGAATATGATAAAGATTTTCCTACTGCATATTACATTCATGTATATGTTTACAATTCACAATTATTATTGATCTTTTAAAAATAGAGTAATTGATTACTGAAAATATATATACAATAATAAACTTACGAGAAAGAATATAAATTTGTTTTATTTCTTACGATATTTGGATTATGATATTTTATTCAGTTACATATAACTCAATTCATATGTCAATTTAAACGTATAAATGTACTTTCATATAAATATATTTGAAATTCATACGTATTTAGATTATTTTAAATAAAACAATTAGTATAATAAGACCTTATACCATAAAAGTAAATTTGCTTCTTTCTATATTATTCAAATAATTATTATTTTATGGTAGTTCTTTGTATTAAAAATGTCATTCAAAGCCAACTTGATTATTGAATTTTATTATGATGAATCGTTTTTTCCTTTTGCAAAATTCTTATATTTTAAACTTCAAACATCAAGCGAAATATATTGAATACTGAAAAGCACGTTTTGAGTATATTTTTGAAATTCTTGTAATTCAAAACGTAAAATCGTCCAGCTAATCGATAAATTGGTTTATGTGCTCTCATGATCATAAAATATATATCTTTCTGGATCTTTGGTGGAAATTCATACCAATTAATAGTACACAGACAATCTCGTATAGCTTCTGTGTGAGTAGTGAGAGTTTCGCCAGCATAATTCAATAAAAATACTTGCAACATTAATACAGTAAAACATAAAATGAATCTCGTTATATTTTGGCCCAGTTTCATAGCTATTAATATCTGCATACCTATAGAAAAATTTTATGCCGTAAAATGTTTATATAATATAAAGTTGCTAAATTATAAATGAATGGAATATGTGTTAGTTTATATTGTACGTGATGTTCAAAAGATATGTTGTTTTTTTCTAAGATCTTAACATTAGTTAGCTTAACATTTTAGATCTTAACTAAAATGAGCGTTTAAATTAATTCAATTAATAGTAAAATTTTATATTAATAAGCTATTAATTTACATTACGTATTAAATAAACTTTAAATGAATTCATATATGGAGTTTAACTAATGGATTATTAATTATTATTTTCCTCCAAATTATTTTCAGTCTTAAACGCTCTTAAACTTCTATGATTTAGGTTTTATCTTAACTTAAAATTGACTAATAATTTATTGAAATTTAGTCCTCAATAAGTATTTATTCTAAACGTTTGAGCTTATTGAACATTGATAGTAATTATATAAAAATAGGAGCAAAGTATTATTATTATTTGATATTATGATATATATTTTTCGGGTTCAATGAATGAATATTTAAACAGACTTTTGAGGCGAATTATGTGCAGATGTATATATTGATATAATAAATTTTTTACGAATATGTTAAAAAATTTAATTATTTTACAATATTTTCTATGTATGATTGTAAATAATATGCATTACTGACCTAGTGCTAAGTTAAGTCCACAATTTAATAAAAGCTCTAGCAGTATTATCTCTGATATCGTATTATTTAGTATTTCAGCTAAATCCAGCAGGTTGCTATGTCTCTCAACTATCGAATGAATTTCTTCTTCCAAATTAATTGATTCTTTCAAATTTGTATTTACTCTCATAATATCATATTGTAATACCGCAAAATGCCCACTGATGAACATTGTTAGCATGAAAAAAAGTATGCTAATGCCTACGTTTCCTTGTCCACATGAGTAGAATCCAATAGATTCAAAAATGTATATTAAAACATAAATTTGTTCTCGTAGTATTCCATATATGCATTCTGAATGTGCCGGTAATCGTTTTATTTCGAAATCCCATGTATTTTCCCTGTATAAAAATTATATTAGAACTTTTATTTAAATGGACGATACTTTT